ACATCCTAACCATGTGGTACCAGTGACCCTGGGAGGGAGGGACTATCATGGTCCCCGCTTTCCGGAGGAGGAAGTTCAAGGTCACTGCCAGGGAGCCCTGGAGCTGGGCCTCCCATCCTTGGCTCTCAGATTCCCCATCCCCCAAAGCCAAGCCTAGGGTCTGCAGAGACGCCACTGGGGGGCCTCCTCCCTGACCGCTTCCCACAGCTCTGCATCCGCATTGTTGCCCATTCATTCATTCATTCATTCATTTGGCACAGATTCCACCAATATAACTAGCATCTACTCCAGTGATGGCGAACCTTTTGAGCTCGGCGTGTCAGCATTTTGAAAAACCCTAACTTAACTCTGGTGCCGTGTCACATATAGAAATTTTTTGATATTTGCAACCATAGTAAAACAAAGATTTATATTTTTGATATTTATTTTATATATTTAAATGCCATTTAACAAAGAAAAATCAACCAAGAAAATGAGTTCGCGTGTCACCTCTGACACGCGTGTCATAGGTTCGCCATCACTGATCTACTCTGTTCTGGACGCTGGGCTGGGCCCTCGAGACACAACGGAAGCCGGACAAAGGCAGCGCCTGCCTGCCTGGAGCTGGAATCAAGAAAACTGTGACAAATGTGTGGCCATCGCAGGAGACAGGCGGCAGGAGGCGAAGGCACGGCCTCCTGCCCTCTGTTACGATGGAGGCTGGCGAGTGTACGGGTCACAGGGGCCCGGAGCTGGCCCTTCTGGGTGTGAGTCCCAGCTCCGCCACTTGCTAGCTGTGGCCTTCGGGAACTTACTTCACTGCCCCGTGCCTCAGTTTCCCAGCCTGTCAACCAGTGCTCACCTCGCTGGGCTGCTCTGATGGGGTCCAGGTGTTACCACATGGGAAGTGTTCGTTGAGCACAGCGCCTGGCCCCGTAAGTGAGCCCTCACCATCTGGCCTGTTACTACGAGGCTGCAGGGTGCATGGTACAGGGGATCACGAGTCTGTCCTCCCCCCCTCTAGGGCTGGCTTGGCAGAGGTGGCACCCGTGGAGCCAAGAAATTGGGTCAGAATGAGGGGCACACGGAGCTCCCCATAAGGCCAAGATGAAGGCAGGGGCCTCAGGGACCCCGAGTTCCAGCTGCTTCACACAGGCCAGCGTCATCTCCTCTGATCACCTTCTGTCCCTCACCCCCACCCCCCGGCCTTCACCCCCACTCACCGCCTGGCCTTTCCTGCTGGACTCGGTTCCAACTCTCTTGACCTCAATAGCACAGAGCTGAGGTTCTGAATTCCAGAAAGACTTGGAACATTTCAAAAAACTATTTTTTATCTGGGTTCAGCAATGGCGCGCGAGGGCACACACACACACACACACACACACACACACACACACACTCACTCCAAGCAAGGATCCATTAAGAATTCATACAGCCCTAGCTGGTTTGGCTCAGTGGATAGAGCATCGGCCTGTGGACTCAAGGGTCCCAGGTTCGATTCTGGTCAAGGGCACGTGCCCAGGTTGCAGGCTTGGTCCCCAGTAGGGGGTGTGCAGGAGGCAGCCGATCAATGATTCTCTCTCATCATTGATGTTTCTGTATCTCTCTTCCTCTCTGAAATCAATAAAAAAAATTTTTTTTTAAAAAGAATTCATACATAAGTAGTGAAACTTTACTAACATGCACAGGAAGTATCAGCTCCACAGCGGGGAGACCAGTTATACTGGGGTGGGAGGGGTATGCATCGGAGACGGAACTATAAAAGCAGAAGAGGAATATGGGGCTGACGGTTTGCTTTTTAACTGGGTGTTGCTTATTCTCTGTGCTGTTTGATGTGTCTATAATACTCTACGAGAAAATCCTTAAAAAGCTCACAAGCACCCAAAAGAAATCGGATGCTACGGAACGAAAAAGAATGAATTACTGACCCATGCAGCAACATGAGCGAACCCCACAGGCGTCACACTGAATGAAAGAATTCCGACACACGTACTGTAGGGCTCCATTCGTGTGACCCGGAAGGGCTGGCAAAACTAATCAGTGGTGAGAGCCGTCAGAAGGGCTCCCTCTTGGTGGGGGTACTGACTGGGATGGGGCCCAGGGAGCTTTCCAGGGGACTGGAAATTCATGTCTGGACTGGGGGGTGGGGGGATGGCCACGTGGGTGTGTATGTATGTGAAGAACCATCCAGCTGCACACAAGAGGACAGCACCTTATGGTCAATTATGCCTCAATTTAAATATTAATTAAAATGTTAAGAAAAACAAATCCTGGGCCAGGTTTGGGAACCCCTTGCACTGGCTTAGGGGAATAGTAAAGGGACTGTTTTTGAATTTCTTTCCATGCCAACTGGATGTTGATTCTGTCACTCGTGTATCTATCGGAACCTCCTCTGCGGGCGGTGGTGAGCGAGGTGCAAGTGCAGATGCACAAAGGACATGGCAACCGGTGGGAACCCTGGCTTCGCCCTCGATGCTGTGTGGGCCGGGCTAGGTGACGCCCGCTGGGACTATCGCCTCGTGTGCCGACGTGGTCGGGATTAAACAAGACAGCGCTCAGCACTGTGCTCGACCCCGTTAGGTGCTCAGAAACCGGGCCGGATACTATGGTTCATGCCTTCACCCTTTAGAGCAGTGGTTCTCAACCTTCCTAACGCCGCGACCCTTTAATACAGTTCCTCATGTTGTGGTGACCCCCAATTTCACTGTTACAAATTGAACATAATTAAAGCATAGTGATTAATCACAAAAACAATATGTAATCATATATGTGTTTTCCGGTGGTCTTAGGCGACCCCTGTGAAAGAGTTGTTCGACCCCCCCAAAGGGGTCGCGACCCACAGGTTGAGAACCGCTGGTTTAGGTGGAACGGCAGATGGCAGACAGGGAGGGAGATCCGCCCGCTCCACTTCCCGTGAATGAGCGGAGGACAAAGTCGCCTGAGGTACTAGGAGGTGGTTTATCACCTAACGATCTCACTTTTTAATAAAGGGAAGAGCAGGCTTCAGGCTCAGCACCGTCTACTGCCAATAGCCCGGAGCTAGAACTCGCTGCTCAGTGCTCTGAAGTTCAAGGACACCTTGAATTCCTGGCAGGTGACACTGGTTTTCCATTTCTAGGGAGGGATGAGGTAACACGTTCGCCACTTTAAACTCATCTATTCAAGTTTTTAAAAGCGGGCCCATGTAAATGAAATAGAGAGCTTAGAACAGTGTGGGCAGAGGTAAATATGGCCAGGAGTGTGACCATGGCCGGGCGGGGGGGAGGGAGAGGGTGGACATTTGTAAACGCTGCTGAGGGTGCTGGGCTGGGGACGCCTGGACAGCTCTGCACAGCCCGGCATCGGTGGGCGCCACAGAGGGACCCTCCCAGGGGCAGAGCTCAGGAGGCGAGGACCACGTCTCCGAAGAAAGAGCCGCGTCAGGCCAGCCAGCCCACCGGCTGCTGAAAATTCTTCACAGAAACAGGATTTTATAGCTGCAAGGTGCCTCCCGTCACCATCAGCAGCCTTTGTCCAAACACATGCTCCTTCATGTGGCCTCGATGTCATAACAAAGTCTCCACTCGCCGCTTTCTCCTCTGCCCTTTATCTGTCCCCTTCCTCTCACGTCACCCTCCGCGGCGGTGTCATGAGTCTTACAGGAGAGAACGAAAAAGGACAGACAGCCCCACCCCCTCACCCAGCTTCCCCAGGGTTCCCATCTGACAGAATCACTTTTTGGAAAGGCTCTGAAAGCGAAGACGTGGGCCTGGGGTGCAACACGATCGGTAGCCACAGCTTCACTAGGGTGTCACCAGCCCTTCGCGAACATCCTTTTCTGGCCTCGGGTCCCATCCAGGGTCCCGCTCCGCCTCTAGCTGCTGCTCCCCCGGCCTGTGACCATACTACATCCTTCCTTGTCTGCCAACGATATTCAGTGCCCCCCCCCCCCCCCCGCCCCGTGCCAGGCACCATGGACAGTGCCGGGGAAACAGGAGTGGAGCAGAGGGGTGAGGCCCATGAGTGGAGGGATTTATGTCCTCACGGAGGGGACAGGTAATAAATGCTTTAACCAACAAGAACGGAGATGTGACTGCTCTGAAATGTGCTAAGGGCCGCGGGGAGCACACAGGGTGCTCTGACAGGGCGTGCCGGGGACACTTCAGGCAGAGCGGTCAGGGCAGGCCCCTCCCAGGAGAGACCCCAAGGAAGGGAAGGGCATTCCAAGTGGAGGGAACAGCCAGTGCTCAGCAATGGCTCAGAGTGAGGCCGACCTGCGGAGGGCGAAGCCCTGGCTGAGCGGCCAGAGCCCAGGGAGGCAGGGAGGGAGGGGACCCGGGATGAGGTCAGCCCAGATGGGGAGGACGGACCCGCAGGGCCCTGCAGGCAGGGGCAAGGGCTCCGCATTGTTCTCCAAGCTGAGCGTCCAGGAGGGAGGACCCAGTTCACCCAGAGTGACCCTGGCGGCCAGTGACAGCCGGGCTCAGGCCGAGGCCGGCCTAGCCTGCATCCGCCCTAGCCAGGCCCTTCCTCTTCCCCCAGCACCGGCCCGGCCTCAGGCAGAACTCCAAGCCCCGTGGAACCGGGGCCTGGCTTTGGAAGATGTTTTTGTGCTCACAAGAAACACGGCGCGGCAACGCCCTGGACGGCTCCCTTCCTCCCAGAGCGAGATCACTCACACGCCCCGCGCTGCAGCTCCCCACCCCGGAGGCCCTGAGCCCCGGGCCCTCTCCCCGCCAGACCCCGGGGCCTGTGCTCAGCACCAGCCCAGGGCTGCTCCGCCCAGGGGCCCGCTGGCCTCGATTCTGCCACACGCACACCTGGGAGCGTCCGCTTCCTTCGCAGTTCTCAGACTGACATGCGCTGTTCCCACTTCTCTGTCTAGCAGGCTCACAGCCGGGCAGCACCCTGCTGGGGTGAAGGGCACAGGCTGGGGAACCAGATGCTCGGCCACTAGCTGGTGACCCTGGGCAAGTCAGTTAACCTCTCTGTGCCTCCGCTTCCCAATGTACCAAACTTTCATAGTAACAGATCCTACCCACCTCCGAGGTGCAGCCGTGAGGATCACATGAGTTAACAGACGGGAGAAGGCAGGTGCCCTGATGACGCCACCTCGGGGTTGGCTATTCCCATCGGGTCTCGAGCCTCTCCCGCCCTCTCACTGCCTCATAAGCTGTGAGCTCCCTGGGGACAGGAGCACACACACCTGGTTCACCTGCCCCTCCCGTCCCTGGCAGGGGCCTGGCACTGAATACATGCTGCTTGTTGAAAGAATGAATGAGGAGCAAACCCGCAGGATGGTGGGCTGGGTAAACAGGTCAGTGAGATCACAAACTGGGAGTTCCTGCCCATCCAATGCAGCTCAGTGGCTGAGCGTCAACCTATGAACCAGGAGGTCACAGTTCGATTCCTGGTCAGGGCACATGCCCGGGGTGCAGGCTCCATCCCCTGTGGGGGGCGTGCAGGAGGCAGCCGATAATGGTTCTCTCCCATCATTGATGTTTCTCTCTCTCCCTCTCCCTTCCTCTCTGAAATCAATAAAAATGTATTTTTTAAAATAAATAAAACTTGGAATTCCTCAGGACAAACACTTTCAACAGAAGGGCCTCGGGCAGAGCAGAGCTTACAGGCCAGAAACGCAGCAGGGAAAACCCGGGCGCTAACGGAGCCCCAAGAACTGACTCTGGAGTGTGGAGTTGCCGACACCTGGCCTCCCGGTCCCGGGCCAGCACCTCTGGCCGGGCTGTGGCCTCCGTGTACGCTGGGCAGGCTGTCTGCTGCCCAAGGACGCCTGGCCGGGCAGAAAGCAAGAGCTGGACTCTAGCTCAACTCGGTCGAGGAGGTGTCAGGACTGCAGAGGGCTCCAGGGGCCTTTCAAAGTGACCCCCACAGAGGTGGCAGAGCGGTGACCCGCAGTCCCGGCACCTGCATGGGCTCCAGGAGCTTCCGTTCTGCCTTGAAAAGTGGAGCCGGTGGGAGCAGCTACACTTCACAGGGAAGGTGACAGCACTGTTACACGGTGACACTTGTTAACTCCCCCTCTTCTTCTGCCCAGTGCCTAGAATAATGCACACAGTAGGTGCTCAGAGCATTTGCTGAAGGAATGGACAAACGAACAAATGGACGGGCTAATGTACTTAACCCCCGTCCTTGCCCCACAGGCAGCCCGTAAAAGGGGCCATGCGGTGGGCTCAGACCCAGGCAGGCGTGGCCATGAACATGAGCACTCTCCCATCCCCAGCCTGGAAGAAAACAGAAAGGAGGGGGGCCAGTCTCGCTTTGGGCTGGAATGCAGCCTTTCTCAGGAAAAGCGATAAGGAGGTGAGCTTGGGACCCCTGGGAACTGAGGGTGGGGGAGGGACGAGCCCCATTCAGCGGGGCAGGAAGGTTTCGGCCGGTGGAATTCGGCAGGGTGTGGGGCTGGGCCTGGGAGCAGAGTTCCTGAATGACCGGCTGGCCGGGCCAGGGCCTCGAGCCCCTCTTGGGAACCTTCACAGCCAAGAGCAGTGTTTCATCAAAACAGGAAAAATCATAGAGGAAAAATGCATATGTCAGGGAGCTGGTATTTACAGGAACGGCCCTGCCTGGACCCAAGGCCTGAGGATGGATGGGGGGTGGGGACACCGAGGAGACATGCAGGGAGCTGACCTCCTGGTAAGGCCGCCCAGTGCCCACCCAGGCCCAAGGGGGGTCCCAGGCAGCCAGGTGAGGAGCCTGGACTAAGTGAAGGAAGATGGACCACAAGCCTCAGGAGTCACGTCCTCAGAGCGAGTTCCGCAGCCCCAGGCCCTGTGGGCTTCGGGCAGAACTTGCCCTGATGTTATCGGTCCCGAGGGCCTCAGCAGCAGGAGGGACAGGACGAGGGACGTGCTCTCCTGCAGGTGTTCCCTCCAGGGCAGGGAAGCCAGGACTTTGGCCCCAAATGCCTGGCAGGCAGGAGCCTCACAAGCGCCCAATGCTGCTCTTTCTTTGGACAACAGGGCGCTCCTCCCCCACCCCAGTGCCCTGCGGGGTTGTGAACTTGGATCTGCTGGGCGCACAGTAGGGTTGCTGGCCTGGACCATAATCGCGGCCACATGATAGTGGCCACATGACAGCTTTGATCCGGCCAAGGCCTCTCCATCCCACCCCAAGCTTCCCGGACACACAATCCTGTGCCTGGGACTTGCTTCTGAATAAACACAAGGATTCTGGTCTCGTTGAGTGCGAACTGAGCCTCTCCCCTGGCCCTGACGAGAGAAGGAACTGGTATGTGCCCTATGCAGGCACCACCCCCGCCCCCCACTCGGCCCCGCAGGAGGCTCCCACCGCTCCACGCTCCCCCTTCTAGCCAAAGTGAGCTTTTCGCAAAGATCGAGCAAGGGCAACGCGGGGTGTGTGTTCTGGAGACAGCCGAGGGGCAGGAGCAGAGCGGGAGCAGCTCACGAGTCCCGGGTGCTGGGTGGAGGGCACATTCCTACACGTTGCATCTCCTGTGCAATACCTTCCCGGGCGAGAGCCACACACGGCAAACCGGCTCAGCCGGTGACGGGGCGGACACCAGGTCCACATCCCACGTCCCCGCACTAGGGAGCCCCACAGGGTGGCACGGCTGGGGCACCGACAGCCACCCCGGGGGCCTTCAGCAACGGCACCAACACACAGTTCCACACGCGTCCACACTCACACGTACACACGCGTAAGTACACGGGCGCTCCTTCGACAAACAGGCGTGGCTCCCCCAGGGGCCCTCTCCCTCGGCCAATCCTGCCTGCCCTCTCTCCCCGAGGCTGGTACCACCAGCCGGCTCAGGTAGATGCAAAATGACAGCTGTCACCTGCTGGGCCAGGGTCCCCTGTGGGAGTCTGCATCAGGGGTCAAACACAGAGAGACCTGTGAAAACTCAGCGACAGTCACAGCCACCTGGAGCGGCCACTATCCCTGGCAGTGCCGCGCTGACCGCTGACCTGCACTACTTCACTGGATCTCACTGTCCCCTGGGAAGAAGGCACCTCACCAGCCCCGCTAATGACGTGACAAGGTGCCGGCGAATCAGGGGCCTGTGGGGGCAGAGCTGCAACTCAAACCCCGGGACACTCTGCTGGCCGCTATCCGACCGTTTTCCCGTGTGCCGGCACCGTCCTAGGCCCAGGGCACCCAGCAGTGACCGAGCAGAGCCAGGAGTGGCAGCCTGGTGGGACACCGAACTCGCTTTCACCCCGGTCTCTCCTGTCTCCCAAAGGCCACGGCTCCTTCCAGAGAGAGACCTCCTGCCCGGCCGGCGTGGCTCAGTGGCTGAGCGTCAACCTATGAACCAGAAGGTCACGGTTCGATTCCCAGTCAGTGCACATGGCCGTGTTGCAGGCTCCATCCCCAATGTGGGGCGTGCAGGAGGCAGCCGATCAATGGTTCTCTCTCATCATTGATGTTTCTCTCTTTCTCTCCCTTTCCTTTCCTCTCTGAAATGAATAAAAATATAAATTTTTAAAAAATGTGTTTAGCTAGTGTGGCTCGGTGGTTGAACCAGGAGTTCCTGGGTTCACTCCCCAGTGCAGGGCGTGCAAGAGGCAGCTGATCGATGTTTCTCTCTCATTGATGTTTCTAACTCTCTATTCCTCTCCCTTCCTCTCAGTAAAAAAAATCAATAAAATATATTTTAAAAAATAAAAATAAAAAATAACTGTGAGGACCAGATGATCACATCTGTGACTGGGCAGAATCCAGTCCCCATGCTACCAGTGTACAACCTCTGCTTTTGATCAAGTCTGTCAGGAAGTTGCATGCGCGGGGACAAGGAAGTGCAGAGGCCATGACACTGGACTAACCGACGAGGCGCCAGGAGCTGGAGGAGGCTCTCTCCTTCACGCCGTGCGGCCATCCGGGGAAGCAGGCTCAGAGAGGTGCAGCGAGCTGCCCAAGCACACACAGCAAGGGGGCGGAACCGCCAGGCTCCAGAGGCCGTGGGTCCCAGGTCTGCCCGCCCGGCCGCACACAAAGGCAGCCCTGGGGAAGGTGAGGCCGGGGCGTCTGACTCGTCATCCTCCGGTGAGTGCGAGGCAGGCGGAGGTCCAAGTGGGTGACGCGCCGGGTGGCCCCACTTCCAGGGACCTGATCCAGGGTGGGGTGGGGTGGGGTGGGGCAGGGAGGAGGCGGGTGGGTGAACCTTCTCATACCTCCTTGACTCAGGGTGAACTCAGCTCTGACAAACCACCAGGCTTCAACGGTGACCCAGTTTCCCACTCAGCCAACTGAAACGAGTGGGGAGAAGTCGGCTGCCGCCTGGCTGGCCAGGGGAACGTGGGCAGGGCCTCAGCTCGGAGCGGTGGGTCCCCAGCTCCAAGGGGAAGGAGCTGGCTCCATCCACCTCGAGGCCCTCCCGGCTCCCACAGCTACTGATTCTAATCAGCCCGGAACCTGAACACACGCCAACCCTAGGAGAAACGCCCCCCTCGCTTCCCCCTCTATGAACGGGAGTGAGCCCCGTTCCACGGTCCTGTTGTGAGATCTGAGGATGAGCCCCACACGGTGTAGCCCTGTGCCTGACACCCCCGAGGTGTCAATGAGTGACTCCCACC